TATTTGAATTATCAAAATATATACCTATTTAAATACATGTACAGTTAGTAATTAAAAAAATTCAATAAATTATGGAATAAGAAAATACTTAGCCACAAATCAAGTGAAAAAATTCTAAACTCTTTTCAACACAGAAGACAAAAGAAAACGCATTTAAATAAATATCATAAACTTAAGGAGATGAAAGAAAGAAGTAAAGCTCACAATTTGGCATTAGAAGAGATTGAAATTTCTCAAAGGCACATTTCTCTTGAGCACTCTATAAATCAAAAACAAACAATTGAAGCAAAAACCCAAGTTAATTAGGTGTAAGGCACAAAATCTATCAGATCTTCAACATCGCACTTATCACTTATAAAAAATAAGGCATAATATCTATCAATTGCTAGAATAACTCGTAAAATTGAACTTAAAAACCCAAACCCAAGTAAGTGTAAGGAGATTCAAAAGCCCTACAATATAGAGACATGAGCTTACTTGGGAAGAGACAAACCAATAAATTAATTTTTTTGTCCTTAAATGAAAAGCAGTGAAAATACCTTCTTACTCCTCTTTGTCTTTCTCACATATTTAAATTAACCCCCACTAGTGTGGATGAAAGGAATAAGAAAATGGGGAGGGAGAGTAGCATATTCATGCCTGTACAAAAAGCAGACAGGCCACTAACCATATTGGTTGTTTGTATAACAATGCAGGTCAAATACTTAACACAGGAGATGAAGTGGAAGATGAGATTCTAAACTTCTACAAAAATCTACTGGGAACAGCAGCAACACAATTACCAACAGTGAATACAGAAGTAATGAAGCATGGGAACACACTGAATAGGCAGCAACAATTGAACCTGATAAGACCAGTAACTGAAGAGGAGGTCCAGCAAGCACTTCAAAACATAGATGACAGCAAGGCTCCAGGCTGTGATGGATACAATTCTTACTTTTACAAGAAAGCATGGCACATAATTGGCAAGGAGGTGACTCAAGCTGTGGTGGAATTCTTTGACAATCCACAAATGTGTAAGCAAGTGAACTGCACTACCATAACTTTGATCCCAAAAGTGAAGAATCCCAGTAGCATCAAAGAGTTTCGACCTATATCATGTTGCACTGTGCTGTACAAGATCATCTCTAAAATCTTAACAAGTAGATTGCAGGAAGTATTATCAGAGGTGATAGATAACTGTCAAGCAGCTTTTGTTCCAGGAAGAGTGATAACAGATAATATCATCATGAGCCATGAATTAATAAAAGGATATGGAAGGAAGAATACATCACCTAGGTGTATGCTCAAGATAGATATGCAGAAGGCCTATGATTCAGTAGAATGGGTATATGTGGAACAAGTAATGAGGCAGCTGGGAATTCCATGAAGATTTATAACTTGGGTGATGACATGCATAACCACAATATCATACTCAGTTATCATAAATGGGAAGCCACTTAAACCATTTGAAGCAAAGAGAGGGATAAGGCAAGGGGACCCATTATCACCACTGCTTTTTGTCATACCAATGGAGTACCTGTGCAGATTACTTAAGCAGCTAAGGAACAACAAGAACTTCAAGTCCCATCCAAGGTGTGCTAAAGTGAATCTCATACCGTTAGGATTTGCCGATGACCTGCTACTATTCTGTAAGGGAGAGGAGAAGTCTGTGGTGGAAATCCATAAGCATTTTCAAACTTTCTCCAAAGCTTCAGGTCTAATAGCTAACACAAGCAAGAGTAGTGTGTATTTTGGTGGAGTAGACAACAGAGTGCAGCAAAGAATTCTGGATATACTAGGATATACTAAAAGTGATCTACCTTTTAGATATCTTGGTGTCCCATTGAGTACAAAGCGACTGTCAATAGCCTAGTGTGAACCATTGATAGATAAAATGTTGAGTAGAGTGCAATGCTGGACAGCCAAGCTCCTATCTTATGCAGGGAGAGCAACACTGATCAAAAGTGTCTTGGGAACACTTCAAAACTTTTGGGCACAGGTCTTCATACTACCTAAGAAGATCATACAATTCATTGAGACAATATGTAGGAGATTTCTGTGGACTGGTAATGCTGAACCAACAAGGAAGGCACTGATTGCTTGGGACAGACTATGTATGCCAAATTCAGCAAGGGGGCTAAACTTCACTAACATTGAGATATGGAACAAAGCAGCTATTTGTAAGTTGTTATGGAACATATGTAAAGAAAAGGAGAAAGTATGGGTACAATGGGTCCACATTTATTACATAAAAGATAATAGCATCTGGGATATAGAACCTAGGAATGCATCCTGGGTAATACAGAAGATCTTCAAGGCAAAGGAGCAATTTCAAAAGGCAGGTTACTCAGAAGATAAAGTGAAGCAGATAGGAAAGTTTTCCACCAAGCAGATGTATAAAAAGTTACAAGGGGACTTCCAAAAGGTGCCATGGAGAGGACTTGTTTGCAACAACAAGGGGATGCCTAAATGGATCTTCATCCTAAGGTTGGCAATCCTAGACAGACTAGCCATCAAGGAAAGACTTGCTAGATGGGGTAAGCTGGATGATACAGTGTGTTCTTTATGCAATTGAAGCAATGAAACAATGCAACATCTTTTCTTTGAATGTGATGTCACATGGGAACTATGGCAGAAAATATTATAGTGGCAAGGGATAGTGAGAAGGAAGAAGCAGTGGCATGAAGAAATACAATGGGCAGTAGAGAAGGCAGCAGGGAAGAGTGCGGGAGCTGAACTATACAGAGTTACAATGGCTGCAGTTGTCTATCATATGTGGCAGGCTAGGAACAGAAGTATATTTCAAAAGGAAAAATTCAGTGTGATAAAAATAGTTAAAATGGTAGTGCGGGAGATTCATATACGAGCTCAAAGCTACAAAAAACTGGACAAGTACCTAAGCAATTTAAATTGGTACCCAGTATAGTATAGAATGTACTTAGTAGTGCAGGGAATAGAGTAGCATCCTTTCGTTGGGGCTTTATGTTCAACAAAGGAATATAGACAGTTAGTCTCTTGGTGCATACTGTAAATATTTACTTGGTAATAAAATCATTTTAATTACCAAAAAGAATATAGATTAAGGACATCACACAATTGAACAAAATTCACTCACTCTCACAAAGAATTCATATGCATCCCGTGGTCATACCATAAGCTTGCCCTTAGTGTATATCTCCACTAATTTAAGCTAGCCAAATCTAGGATCAATTAGGACTTTTAGGTTGTAATGTAGGCTAAGGGACGGGTAGGATACATTTAGGAATAGTGGCTCACCCTCCTAAGCACTTTAATACACTACATTTACCATTCAAGCACATATTCTTCTCAACCAAACTTATCATATACAACATAGCCCTCTTTTCAATTAAGCACTTCTCTATTTTTCACTAGCACAAATCAATAAGAATTGGAGGTGTTTATTTTTCTACATTACTTGAACTATCATATATTTTTCTCTCTTTTTCTTTGAATTCTTCTTTCCTTCTCTTTTTTTTTCTTTTTTTTTTCACACACTCCATACAATAAAGTTCATCGGCTAGTGACCTTTAATTTCAACTTAGTGCACCAACAGGCCCCTCCATGGTTCCACTCAAAAGCTCCTCCCCGAATATCTAACCTTACTTCTTTTAGCGACTAAGTGCCTTAGGAGTTAAAGGTTCAATCAATATCAAATTAAGAACAAAATAGGGGTATGGCTTGTAATGTGGGTGCCAAAAGGAAGGTCTATAGGCTGAAAGGGGCTAGCAACAGAAAAATTTTATTTTTATGTGACAAGCACATCCATGATCAAGAAAGAAATTCCTACTGTCACGACCCAAACTGGAGGGCCATGACTAGCACCCAGCCATACTTACCGAGCACCAACATATATTTTATCTAACCTTCTTTATTATCTTTTAGGGTTGACGAGATCAATATAAATGGTAGACATGGGTCGTGGACAACCAACAATAAAATATGATGGCATGAACATACATAACATGGGATGACTAGACAATCAAGAAACTATATATAAGGTACGAGCTACCACGCTACCATGAGAGACTATACAACAAAAACCAGCCGACAAGGCCTACCAAACTATACATGAGTCGACACCTATCTATGAGACTCTAAAGGAACATAAGTGTTGCAACATAGCCGGAACAGGGCCCCGACATACCCATAATGTCTATAAAAAAAATGCATACCAAGACCACGACAAGTCCGAAGAAAGGATCTCGCCAATCACCGCTGAACTGGACAGCCTACTATGGTGGGGGAGTTGCGCCTGCCTGTCTATCAGGACCTGCAGCACGACATGCAGTGTCCACAAATAAAAGAACGTCAGTACGAATAAAGTACTGAGTATGTAAGGCAGGGAACCATAAGTACGAACAGTAATGTAAGCAGGGATAGAGAATAAACAACCTGTAACATCTGGTACCTCTGAGGGCTACTGACATGAAATGCGTGATACATATGTATATATACATAAACTTTTAAAACATACGCCTCTGTGGGCATCATCATCATCATATCGTACCCGGCCATAATAGGCTCGGTAAAAACGTACCCGGCCATCGCTCGGTGGAGCTCGGTAAAACCCAACTGATCAGTGGTTGCACAATAGGTACCATATCCGGCCGTCTATAGCACGACTCGGTAGAGTAAAATAGATTCATATATATAATGCATGCTCGACTCATGAACTCACGTTCTAAACCTTTCGGAGTGACGTAAGGTCGGTATCCTGTGTACACGTTATTAGAACAAACTCTTCACCATGAACCTTATAAGAATCAGGAAGTACCAATAACATTAATAACATAAGAATAAGATAAGCAACATCAACATCAATCGTTCCATAAGAGGGGAAACAATGTAAGTACTGCTAGCTTCTAAGAGTAGAGTATCTTTGGAAGCTCGTTGATTACATTATGTACAATCGGAGTCGTGCAAAAGAAGGAAAGGGATAGCCTCACATACCTTGTATATACTGCCCCAATCTCAAGCGATGCAATTTTCACAACTCCTTAGTCTACAATAAGAGAAACGATACTATAGTTACCATTCAAGCGTCATAACGATTATGTATCGACCACAACCTATTTTACGATGAAACGGACAGCACCTCCCCTATATATATGACTTCACACAATTCCAAACAATCACCAAACAGCCTAAACAACATCAATAATAATCATATTGAGCCTCCCACAACAGTCCACGCACAACCTAATCACTTCATACATACGACGGCCACTGTAGCCATGTCAAACGACCCGAAAATGTTACGAAGAACTACCAGACCACAACCCTACATCTATATGGTGTTTCTCCATACCCCTTCCTCCTCCAAAACTCCACAAAACACGTAGTAAAACACGCAGCCC